TATGTAGATATATGTGTATATATATACAATTATTAATATATCCTCAGCACGATATTAGATGTCTTGGCATGCGTCATATCTCACAGTTCACAGAATGACCCTAGAATAAAAGTTTCGAAGTTTAATTAGTAGCAGTCTTAGATGTTAAATAATCGATGCGCAAGCTTTTATCAGGGCGAACCCATTTTTTAAAACTGGAAGGCCGGGAAAATCCTCGATCCTTTCTCGATGCCCCACCTTCATCCTTAATATCTTCCATATACCGAGGACATCCTTAAGTAATTGTCGCAGTCATTAGATAATTGGCTCGGGGTCGATCGCGAGCATTTGCACTTCTTTTTAGACGTCAAGTGCCATAGAAATCTTTGAACCAGTGGTCGATAATCGATTCAGCACGTCGACTATTATTTCCTCAACTCTTGTTTCCACCCTTCCACTTTTCTTAAATTACATTTCTTGAATTATTTTTATTAAACGCATTAAACGGTTAAAGGATTCATTCCCTGTGAATTTGATAATTTTTCTATTTTATGCAAGGACGAGAAATTAATATTTCTTTCATGTATCTACAGAAATCCAAATATAATTTGATAGTAGGGTATTTTTTGGAATGACGTAAATTGTTTTAGCAGAAAATTGTCGTTTTGAAACCGCTAGAATAACGAGTTAAATGATTTTTCCGTCTCCACGGAAGGGGAGATGCTGCCAGAAATGAAATTTGAGAGATTCTGCCGGAAATTAAATTTGGGAGATCCTGCCGGAAATGAAATTTGGATGATCCCGCCAGAAATGAAATTTGGGAGATTCTGCTAGAAATGAAATTTGGGAGATCCTGCCAGAAATCAAATTTGGAAGATCCTGTGGGAAATTAAATTTGGGAGATCCTGCGAGGATTTAAATTTGGAAGATCTTGCCGGAAATGAAATTTGGATGATCCTGCCAGAAATTAAATTTGGAAGATCCTGCCAGAAATGAAATTTCGGAGATCCTTGCGCGATCGAAAAGGAGATGGGGCCTGGTTTCGTTCCTCTTCTTCCGTTCGCCTGTCCAATTTCCCCCGTTTCTCTGCGGGTGGTTTTCCAGAGATTTCCGTCGGTTTTCCCGCACTTTCGCCCCCTATTTCCGGGAGATGGACGAGAGGAAACCCCCCATGTGACACCGAGAATTAATTCGGTTTCCGGGTTTCTCGAGCAAGACTCCAATTTTCCATTGGCTTCGTTCTCGCACCCTTGAATTCCCTCTTTGTTATCTCTGTTAAAGAAAAAAAAAAGAAAAAGAAAAAAGGAACGAAAATTCCTTCGGTTAAAAGGGGACCTTGGGAGTGAATTTAGGGAGGGATAAAGTAGAATTGTCTAAATAAATAATTGACTAAATAAATCGCGACACCACCACCGCCACCACTCTCCGAGCACCACCACACCCACTGTTTAAGCCTATATGCAAGCATGATTCAATATATTTATACATATCTATCTATATTTATAGGTACACTTGTGCACTTGCGGAGGAAAAAGTTTGGTTGAGCTAAATAAATCTACCGGAAGTGAATTATCCTGAAGACGAGGAAGCGCGTACGTCTTCTTGCTCCGATAAATCGTTTCTCCTTCGGCTGCACATTTGACTTCTTGATTCGGGGAAAGCATATCACTTTCTTTACAATAATTGAATGCGTACCGACGCGTGAAAAAAAAAGAACAAAACATAAATTATGCAGTGAAAGTACGGGTGTGGAAAAATTATACATTCAGAGTGGTCAAGTTCGTGTGACCGCTATGAATTTCTCCTGAAGTGGAGCAGATAGCGAAGCGATTTTAAGATACCGGAATTACTTGAAATCTTCAAAAAGAAGCAAAATGAGAAGCAAGCTTCCTTCCTCTTGTTCCTTTCCAGTTTTTATCGACAAGCTTCCGTGAAAATTTCTTCGCTAACTTTTCCCGAGAGCCGTAGCTTCGGAAAAGGCTCCTGAAAAATTGACCAATTAAGATATAGTATTAATAAACAACAAAATAGAAAGAAAAAAGCCGGGAAATGAATGTAGACTCTCGAAACTCGAAAATGTACAAACGACGTGAATTTTTGTTCGAGGTGAATTACCTCCAAAGGATTTTTAATCCTCTTCTTTCTACGTCAAAGAAATTAATTATCGAAAGGAATGAAAAAATGTAAACTGGATATTTATTTGGCTCGATTAAATGTTCCATGCAATGGCACATGGCAGCCAAGAGTACTTGCAAGCATTTGCTTGATCCGGATGCATCGGAATGCATCTCGGATGAGCGCAGCATCCGCAAAAGCGAAGGCGACGATGTTCCTCGTATTTCCGGAGACCTCATCAATGGGGTTGTCGCGATATTAAATGTTTACTATCCTTTAGTATTAAATATTTAATTTAAATTACTAAATTAAATTATTATTACATTATTAAATTAAATGTTTACTACCCTTTTGGTTTCGTTCGCTAAAACATAGCTCGCAAAAAAAACAAGTCGCCGGAGATGCCATAGAGCGGGAAGAAAGAGAAAGAGGAAGTTGGAAAAAGAGCGGAGGGACTGTATGAAAACTCGTTTCATGGTCGACTTTCTTCGCCATGTGCTCTCTTAAGGTGCATTCACAAGGGAAATATCGTCGCCCGTGCTTTCGCGACATTGTCGACTGCTCGATCTTTCGGAAATTCGTCGAAACGAAAGAACATTTGGAAACGCCACTGAGAAGATTCTATAAATTCTATAACACTTCCAAATAATTATTTTCGTATTACAATTGGTATCATCCCTCGTCATACGGATGTACATCATTATCAATTACTTTGGTATTATAATTGGTACCATCCCTCGTCATACGGATGTACATCATGCACGATGCAGGATAAAGTTGATTTACCTCTATTGACCGATGGTCAAGTACAATCCAAGGAATCGATTTTTCTTAGAAAATTAACTCGGTACTGGTCGATTGCCATCATAAAATGCGATTAATTGTGCTTTTAATGATTCTAGTCCCCTTTAGAATGCATCGCGAAGAGAAAGTGAATAAATTAGATTTTTTATATAGAACGCGGACGAACATCGTTTCCGTGTTCGTTTCTTCTCTAATCTTCTCTGCTGAATTATTTACTTCCTACAAGTCGAAGGAAACACCTCTTTCTCCCGCGTCGAAATATTATACAGTCAAACCTCTTTTGTGCGGTAGATAGGGACCGCAGAAAAAAAAACCGCAGAAAAAAAGGATTCAGAAACTTCATAAATAGCTATACCAAATAATTTTTCAGAACATATTAAAGAACATTTTTTTTTATGCGGTGGAGAGGGACCGCATAATAATAAAAGTCTATTGAAAGTATATCAAAGCTTTTGAAAATATATCAAAGCTTTCCGAAATAGCAAGAAAGTGCTTTCCAAACAAAATAAATAATTAAATTACACGTGGAAATATTTTTAAAAATTGTTATTTCTGAAAATATATCAAAGCTTTCCGAAATAGCGAGAAAGTGCTTTCCAAACAAAATAAATAATTAAATTACACGTGGAAATATTTTAAGAAATTTTTCTTTCTCATTTTAAACATGGAGAAATTTTCAAAATTTACATAATTCGATACTACTCGTCGTAGTCCGAAACGCGTATATTCTTGCGATAAACTGGTTCATAATCGCTTTCCTCACTTGAAGATATTAGAGTTGATTTATTTTTTGTTACCATGTAGTCGGTGATAAGTTTTGCAACGACGGTCGTTTGATCAGCTGCTTGTAAACGTCGCGATAGGCAGATATACACGATCGAAGCTCTTTTTGGAATTTCAAACTTCTTTCGGAATTATCTATTTTAAGAGAATGCTTTTCCAATTTGCTCTTAAGTTATTGAGAATGTCAGTATCAGTTATGGTTTCGTCCTTAATCATTTCGATAAGATCATTTTCGCTAAAAGTGTGAAAACCTTCTCCGCAGATGTTATGTGCTAGCGCAATGATTTCTGATGATAACGTGGACGTGTTTTCGATTACATTCCTATTAACACTAGGTTTACGGGCGTTTTTTATATACCTGTTTCTACGAGCACCCGTCAAATTGACGGGTAAACGAAAACACGGATTTTCTTTAAAAAATCGATTCATTCAAATGAAGTCTGGATTAAACAACACTAGGCTTTACGTTTAAATGAATTATTAATAAGTGAAAAGTCCTTTTTTAAAAATTATCACGGAAATGATTGGAATGCTCGTCCTCTCATCCTCGGAGTCAGAACTAGAATGAATGCGCATCCTTTTCTTGCTACGACACCCTTTCAAGAAGTTTCCCTCTTCACTATCCGAAGATCCTTCTATTTCTCCACTTTCAATGCAAACTTTCACTCTCATCTTCGCCTTACACTCTCTGCAACGAAGCAAATATATATGGATTGTTTATGAAATTAGCTAGTCCGTCAATTTGACGGGTTTCGTAGAGATAGGTATACTACATACAGATTTTAATAATTAGAAGGCTTAGGAAAAAATAACTGTGTGTACAAATTCTTTGGATGAAATGATTAATTTACGATACAAAAATGGTTAAAATTAATGCTATGGTTTTTTCGGTATTTCTTTTTGAAGTTTGAATTCCGTCAAATTGACGGATCCCGTAAACCTAGTGTTAATGACACAACAAAATCCCGATAGTAATATACTGCATAAAAAAAATCGCACAAAACAAATCGCATAAAAAAAGACTGCACAAAAACAGGTTTGACCGTACAATGCTATTCGCATAATCGTGCACCCGATATGACCACCAAATATTTCGTTAAGAAGAAAATGAATCTTGTCTGTCCGAATCCATGGATCAGGTTGATACTCCTGGGAGGCAGGAAAAGAGCGTAATACTCGGCTGGTAAAAAAATCGCCGACATGGAGACGAATTTTCGAAAAGGAGCGGCCGCCCTCGGAATTTCTGCACGGACCCGGGAGGAGCATGGTTAGAGCATGGGCGTGCCCATCGAGATGGAAATTCCGAAAAATGTTTGCAGGAACTCGCGCACAAGTTATCGCGAAGCTTCGACATGCAGGAGGCGCAGCTCCTGGAGGAGGGCGGATCCGGAAGTGGGACTACCGGAAGCGTCGGCTCCGGAGGACCTCCCAGACGTCATCACAGTGCCCAGCGGTTGTCCAGGAACGAGATGTCCGAGAGGAGGGAGGAGGACGCCGCCCTGATAGTACCGGACCACCAAGGCAACCTCAGGATCACCGTCAAGAAGACCAAGTCCATCCTGGGCATCGCCATCGAGGGTGGCGCCAACACCAAGCACCCCCTTCCCAGGATCATAAACATTCACGTGAGCAGCTTTTTTATTTTACAGAGCTGCGAAACTCGGGATCGCTTCGCACCAAATACATTTTTCACTGTCGCGAACACACGCGTGGGAGGCTTTTTCTTTTCGACTCGCCAAACTCGGCTGCATCCCTCGCCAAATGTATTTCTCGTTATCACCCTAGTAGCATAGAATAATTTCTAAATATTTCTCTGTAATCTTTGATAAATATCTCAAGCGACAGATTTTTTTAAGATGTCTCGTAGATTTCATTCGAAGATATCTGAAATATTTATTGAAAATCTCAATGGCATATTCAGTTTCAATAATTTATAAACATATATAGAAATTATATTTTCTAATTTATGAACGTATAATAAAAATATATTTTATTTCACGATTATTATCGGACACTTCGTATGGTGTCCGCTATGTCGTTATGGGAGCAAAAAGTATGTTTTTGATTTTAAATGTCTTTCAAACGTTTATAATGTATTCGGCGGATAATATTGAAAAAATACTTGGTCTACTACCAAGGAAACATTTCTATGTATCCGCCGCCTTATCCGCCGATCCGTCGATCTTATTCATTTTCATATATGTCGAAGAACACAAAAATCTAAGAGACACGTGTTTCTTTTTACCTGCAATGGTCCACATTTAAGGGTGAAACAACCCCCCAAAGTTTGGCGAAAATTCGATATTTATATTAATTTTCGTAGATGCAGAGGAGGGATTTCGACGAAACTCGACATAAACTTATTCTGTATAAGGACGGCGAAAACAGAATATTTCGACAAAACTCGACATAAACTTATTCTGTATAAGGACGGTGAAAACAGAATATTGTTCAGGAATGGTACACCCCCCCAAGGGGGTGAACTACCCTTCAGGCGAAATTTTTTTGCAATATCCATTAAACAAGCACTCCTACTTAAGTTCCACTTACGCCATGTGATTGCTTACAAAAAAATGAGGTAGTACGTGTTTTTTACTTTTTGCCAATGAACATTTATACATAGGTTGAAAACAATGGATGTAGGTGGTGCATGGGTATATCCCGACTATCTTTATTGGGTTACATCGTCATCGAATCTGTTGCGAAACAATTTCAGTCTCTTAAACTATTTCTTTAATTTGTTTATAAATAATTGCATGTTATCAAAACCAACGACATTGTGATAAATTAGCACGTCCACACGATTTATGTACAATGAATTGGTCACGATATAACCCATTAAAAATAGTCGGGATATACCTATATACCACCTACATCCATTGTTTTCAACCGATGTATAAATGTTTATTGGAAAAAGCAAGAAACACGTATTTCCTCATTTTCCATTAGCACTCACATGGCGTAAGTGGAACTTAAGCAGGAGTGCTCGTTTAATAGATATTACAAAACAATTTCGCCTGAAGGGTAGTTCACCCCCTTGAGGTGGTGTAGCATTCTTGAACAATATTGTGTTTTCAGCGTTCTTATACAAAATACGTTTATGCCAAGTTTCGTCGAAATCTCTCCACTGCTTCTACGAAAATTAAAACAAAAATCGAATTCTCACCAAACTTTGGGGGGTTGTCTCACCCATTAAATGTGGACCATTGCAGATATAAAAAAAACACGTGTCTCTTAGATTTTTGTGTTCTTCGATATATATTAAAATCAATAAAATCGGCGGCGGACACTTGAGAATGTCTCTTTGTAAGACATACGGTAAAATGGGAAAAATGGCATCAACCCCAGTAGCACAGAAGAATTTCTAATTATTTCTTTATAATCTTTACTAAATATCTCAAGCGACAGATTTTTTAAGATTTCCTGTAGATTTCATTCGAAGATATATGTATTATTTATTGAAAATCTCAATGACATANATATTTCAAATGTATGCTAAATATTTACAAAATGTACGATATTCGTTGAATATATAGAAAATATAGGACAAATATTTTGTGCTACTAGGGAATAAACAAGTAGGGTGAGCAGATAATATTCTAAAGTAAACGTTTTGCAAGTATTTCACATGTCTGCTAAATATTTATAAAATGTACAATATTCGTTAAATATATAGAAAATATAGGACAAATATTTTGTGCTACTAGGGAATGAGCAAGTAGGGTGATCAAGCAGAAATCTTGAGAGTGATCAAGATTCCAAACGAATGTGTTTATGTGCGGAGAAATAGGAAGAATGAGAAAATGTAGGATGTTAAGTATCTAAGAGATTCCCAGTGTCTGGCGGCCGGAAATGCCTATAAATGTCCGAAGAAGCGTCTGTTTCCACGGAAATGAATGATCAGACAGGATACCGCGAGCCTCGATAAATAAATAACTAGGGGAGGAAGTTCCGCGGATGGACGAGTCAATTTCCGCAGGAGATTTCCGGAAATAGGATTCGATCCACGCGAGAGCTTATTTATTGCGAAACGATCGTATCCTTAATATTCCAGTTCGGTCATAGGAAATTTTCGCGCGATCCGAATTCTCGAATCATTCGCGCAACATTTATTCATAATTATTCCTGATAAAATAATGTGGTAAAAATAGCGGGAATAAAAATCACATATACAATTTCAGGATAACGGAGCAGCGTACGAAGCTGGTGGCCTCGAAGTGGGTCAGCTAATTTTGGAGGTCGACGGGCACAAGGTCGAAGGTACGTACCTCGAGAGTTTTCTTTCTCAACTCCGTACAATGGATCCACAAATTATTCCACTCGATACAACCATGATTTTTTTTTTTTTCTCTTTAAAACGAGGTACCGTGCCTCGGAAGGAGGCTTGCTTAAATTTACATAATACGCGGAAATAATAACTATATTCCAGCAAATAAATAAAGCAATCAAACAAGGACGTTCGAGTACGATTTTTGTGTTTTAAGGTGAAGTGAAACACATCGGGGAACTTGATCGACGTCGATAAAGAAGATTTTTCTAAATGCCTACGTTGCAGACGTTCGTTTTTCTATTGACAGCTGGGTCGAATTATATTGGGTATTGGACCAAATGGCATACTCCACCTGTCGTTTTTGTACAATAATTATAAAGAAATCGAAGTAAAACTCCAGAAATCCTCTGGATTCATGCTTTTTGGGGCCCTAATTGACTGCAAAGGGATCCCTGCGCCATCTGTGATTTCCAGGTCAACTAAATTTTCACTCTGAGACCGCGTATTCCCGTCGTTTTGGCATAGAAGCGCATAAAACACTTTTTTTGCCTTTATCCCGTTCAAATGCAAGTTTCTCGATTACCAGAGTGTTCTAAATTGTCGTATAATTGTCCTGACCCTTTCGTTTCTCATATCAGAGCCTTCGATAATTGTATATTGATCGAAATATGAGAGCTCGACGCCATTTTGTTTCTGGTCTGGGCTAAGTTAACAAATTTTGTTGAAAAATCCAAATTTTGAATATGTCGGGACAATTCTTAGATGATCACGAGTCATGTGTCAAAGTTTTGGACTGTTCGGTCCAATACCCTTAAAAAAAAGTGTTGTATTTGAATCGACTGTTTGAAGGGGGTTTCACTTCACCTTACCACTTATTCTAAATGTATCGAAGGTGAGACATTGTTGTCTCGAGCTCGCCCACTGCAACAGCAATCGATATCTATAATACCTACTGTTTAAAAATCGCATCCATCATACCTCCGTATAACAACAGGGAATGCGCGAGTACAGAGATATAAAGCAAAGAAAATAAATTTCTCTTTCATCCCTGCAATAAAATGAAATACAGTGGGGGTAAATTACACAATAAGGTGATTTATTGCAAGATATATCGCAATTCTGACCGCGTTATAAGAAACCGCAATATGAAACAATGCCCTATAAGGTGAAGTGAAACACGTCGAAGAACTTCATCGACGTCGATAAAGAAAATTTTTCTAAACACATACGTTGTCGACGTTCGTTTTTATATCGACGGCTGTGTCGAATTATATTGGGTATTGTACTAAATGGCATACTCCATCTGTCGTTTTTGTACAATAATTATAAAGAAGTCCAAGTAAAACTCCAGAAATCCTCTGGATTCATGCTTTCTGGGGCCCTAATTGACTGCAGAAGGACCCCCTGCGCCATCTGTGATTTCCAGGTCAACTAAATTTTCACTCTGAGACCGCGTATTCCCATCGTTTTGGCATAGAAGCGCATAAAACACTTGTTTTGCTTTTATCCCGTTCAAATACGAGTTTCTCAATTACCAGAGTGTTCTAAATTGTCGTAAAATTGTCCTGACCCTTTCGTTTCTCATATCAGAGCCTTCGATAATTGTATATTGATCGAAATATGAGAGCTCGACGCCATTTTGGTTCTGGTCTGGGTTAAGTTGAACGATTTTTTCCAAAAACCCAAATTTTGAAAATGTCAGGATAATTCCTAGGTGCTAACGAGTCATGTGTCAAACTTTCAGACGGTTCAATCCAATACCCTTAAAAAAAAGTGTCTTATTTGAATCGACTGATTTGAGAGGGGTTTCACTTCACCTTATAAGGAGCTGCATTATAAAGAGATGTGTTATAAAGAGTCGCGTTATGAAAAGGAGCCTTAGAACTTTCGAATATAAGTGGATTCCTTTATGTTAGCGTTTAATGTTTTTTTAACGTGACTTCGAGGAAATTGCGATTAACCGTGTAAACTCCATTGCAGGGCTGCATCATCAGGAGGTGGCCAGGCTAATCGCCGAATCGTTTGCACGGAGAGATCGCAACGAAATCGAGTTTCTGGTGGTGGAGGCGAAGAAGAGCAATTTGGAACCGAAGCCGACGGCCCTAATCTTTTTGGAAGCGTAGCAGGAATCTCCCACCTCCGAGCCGGAACCGCCTTAACTCGGTGAACCAAGAGGCGTTCAAGGAGGGTATAAAGAACTGTAGCTGGATTACCGAAGAAATTCAAGAGGAAAGTGTACGGAGAGATAATGGGGCGAATCGAAGGAGAGCAAACGAGAATAACCTGAAGAGGAAACAAGGTTAACTTATTTGCGCTGCCCTATAATGGATAGCGGTTAATGGAATAGCGCGATGGAACTCGAAGGAACGCTAGAAGTAGAAGGCAGGCTGCAAAGAAGAGAGGACGAGATGTCAAGAGTCTAAAAAATGAAGGAATTCCGGAAATGTCGTGGGTAGAAAACGATGTAACAGAAACGAGAAGGAATAAAGTAGCAAGGCTGAGGTTGGATTAACAATTAGAAAGCGTATTGAAGAGGAAGAGAGGAAAGGGAGGACAGAAGAGAAGGCAATACGAGATGTCAAGAGTGTAAAAAATGAAGAAATTCCGGAAATGTTCGTCGCGGATAGGAAACGATGTAACAGAAACGAGGAGGAATATGGTAGTAAGGTTGTATGAACAATTAGAAAGCGTGTTAAAGAGGAAGAGAGGAAAGGGAGGACAGAAGAGAAGACAGGTCGAGATGCCAAGAGTCTAAAAAATGAAGGAATTCCGGAAATGTCGTGGGTAGAAAACGATGTAACAGAAACGAGGAGGAATAAGGTAGCAAGGCTGAGGTTGGGTTAACAATTATAAAGCGTATTAAAGAGGAAGAGAGGAAAGGGAGGACAGAAGAGAAGACAGGTTGAGATGTCAAGAGTCTAAAAAATGAAGGAATTCTGGAAATGTTTATCGTGGGTAGAAAACGATGTAACAAAGACGAGGAGGAATATGGTAGCAAGGTTGAGGTTGGATTAACAATTAGAAAGCGTATTAAAGAGGAAGAGAGGAAAGGGAGGACAGAAGAGAAGACAGGACGAGATACCAAGAGTCTAAAAAATGAAGGAATTCCGGAAATGTCGTGGGTAGAAAATGATGTAACAGAAACGAGGAGGAATATGATAGCAAGGCTGAGGTTGGATTAACAATTAGAAAGCGTGTTAAAGAGGAAGAGAGGAAAGGGAGGACAAGAGAAGACAGGACGAGATGTCAAGAGTCTAAAAAATGAAGGAATTCTGGAAATGTTTATCGTGGGTAGAAAACGATGTAACAAAGACGAGGAGGAATATGGTAGCAAGGTTGAGGTTGGATTAACAATTAGAAAGCGTATTAAAGAGGAAGGGAGGAAAGGGAGGACAGAAGAGAAAGCGAAGAGGGAGGACGGTTGATTACCTCAGGAGATGGAATGATGAAGAAACGGGGAAGAATGTGTTAAGTAAGAGTTTCTGGAAGGGTTCTTTGACGGAGATTTAACAAGTCTCTCGTGAAACAGGGATTCCGAGAAGAATCCTGGCTGCAGGGTGAAAGAGGGAAATAATGAAGAAAAAGGGACGCGAAGAATTCGCTACAAAAAGGGACTCGATTGGCTGAAATACGTCGTGGCGAAGGGAAGAGGAGGGACTAACCTCGAAATTGAAAAGAAAAAAAGAAATGTTACGAGGTTTTTTGCTAAATAGGGGCTCAAGGGGGAGAACGATCTAACGAGGATGATTACCTTCCGGAAGAGCTCATAAAAGGCCGCGAGGAGAAGATCAGTTCAGGAGAAGACAATTTCTTCTCGGGAGTACCCTTCCGAGATGATTAAGAAAACAAACCCAGGAAAGGGGATCTCGACGAAATCTTTCTCAGCTTTAACGGGATGTGCGAAGTTTTCCGAAATCGAGGAAACTCCCGAATAACGAGATATGTCTGGAGAAAGAACCGTTCTTCTTTTCGGGCGATAACCTTAAACATTGGTCCATGTCGAGGCAAGCCTGAATGCGAAAATTGAGAGACGAATCCTAGATAGAGACGAAAGGAGAAAAAGGGAAAACTATGGAAACGGATCCAGATAATATTTCTTCGGTATCAGCCGCTGATAACTCTCCGATAACTCGGATGCTGCCCTCTTGGTACCCCAACGAGTACTCGAGGAGTCATCCATTAATCCTGGCCCTGGTGGTGGGAATGCGCATGCAAATATGTCCGTACCCTAATCGATCCCTTACACGAAGAGAGGGCGAAGGACGTAGGTAGAATAAAAGAGAAAGAGCAACGAGGAAGGAAAGGCGAAGTAAAGGCCAGAGCGAGGCCCGATTCTCGGGCTTAAGTTGCGCTCAGGACCTCGCCAGCCGCTTCGGAGGGATTCGATAAATAAGAAAATCATGAAATCAGCTAATCGATCGATCGGCCGATCCACTGACCTCCTCGAAATATATGTCCTGCAGTATTAGAAACGAAGTCAATGTCGGAGAGCGTGCACCGTGCCAAATTAGACACGCGATCTCGCGCGATCCAGAGGAGCAGATTTATCGATCCGAGATCGACAGGATCGATTTGCGAGCGCGAGATCATTAGAGATCGTCGTCGGCACCCTTAAGGAGGTTTCACTGTTGACTAATCTGTTATGGCGATTTAGGACTCCAAGGAGATGTCGTCGCTGCTCCTTTAAGTTACGATAGTTCTTTTCCAATTTTCTTCTGCATTCTTCATCATTTTGTGTTCTCCTTTGCAATACAGTTTCCATACTTTTTAGTAATAAAAAGGATGCCGGAGAGCGCAATCGAAAGGGGCACTACGACGCTCCTTCCTATTTCGCATGTATTATAGACTTAAACTGGGAATTGTTGAGGCTTAAAAGGTATATATATAATATNTCCCGGAAATATAATTAAATGTAATATTAATTATCGACGAGGTGTCTCATAGTGGAATTGCTAATTACTTTTAAAGCTACGTGCACATGCGCTCGTGCGCATGTGCGAGGTGATGATGAAAACGCGTGTAGTATTTTGAAGAAAATATGTGAAAAAGTGCATTTCGCTGGGTGCAATTGTATGATCTGCGAGTCGTGATCAGTCGTGAAACGATGGGTAAATCAATGGACAGAAAGCAGGAAAGAGTGGATAAAAATGTCAACGAAATAAATCAAACATTGAGTATATGAATGCTTTTTAAAAATGGTTGCTATTATTCTATAATATAGCAATTTTTCGGGAATCTCGAGACACGAATGCCCATGACTCGCAATGATAGTTCTAAAATCGGGAATAATGTGACATGCAATTAACAGGACATTTTGACTGGATAAAAAGATTTTCCAATTTCTAAACGATTGTATTGAATCGACGTAATCCATTGCTATCCTGTCATCATGGTTTTGTTAATCCGTGAAAACGTTTTTCCCATTCCCGTAATTTGTGGATAAGTCAAGAAATCCCGTGTTATGTGTGGGAACAGAAACGAAGAAGAAAAGCAGGAAGAAAGCTGTCACAACGTGCATGTTTAAAGATTTATGAAAAATAAGTTTCGTTTCTTAATTCGAAATTGCATTCTACTGCCCGACGCGCTTATACCAACGTCACACCTTTGATGATGTATGATCTATTTCATAAAAACCTTCTTGGAATTTTTAAATGAAATCAAGAAAAAGCTCCTCGGACAATAGAATGCAATCTTCTCCCGCGTGGAGTCTTTGCCGAAACGAAAATTTAGATTTTGTAAAAGTTGTATAAATATTAGAGGATTCTTAAATATACATTTGTCCATGTTTTGCCGGGGCAGTCGAGCGTTCTTTACATGTAACCACCGATTTCGTTACCAGATTCTACCAAATGCTGGGCAAGCTTTTTCTTCCTTCTCAAAAGTATTTTCTCTAAAGGCAGAAAGTTCCTCAATGGCAATCAGTGGTTGCATTTTAAAAGCGCAAGATTCCACGAAACTGAACAGCCTGAAATTTTCATTTTGCGCCCGTCTTACTAAATCTTAGTTAAGGTGAAGTGAAACACGTCGAGGAACTTGAACAACGTCGATAAATAAGATTTTTCTAAATGCCTACGTTGCCGACGTTTGTTTTTATATTGACAGCTGTATCGAATTATATTGGGCATTGTACCAAATGGCATACTCCACCTGTCGTTTTCGTACAATAATTATAAAGAAATCGAGGTAAAACTCCAGAAATCCTCTTGAGTCGTGCTTTCTGGGGGCCTCATTGACTGCAGAGGGACCCCCTGCGCCATCTGTGATTTTCAGGTCAATTAAATTTTCACTCCGAGACCTCGTATTACCATCGTTTTGGCATAGAAGCGCATACAACACTTTTTTTGCCTTTATCCCGTTCAAATGCGAGTTTATCGATTACCAGAGTGTTCTAAATTGTCGTAAAATTGTCCTGACCCTTTCGATTCTCATATCAGAGCCTTCGATAATTGTATATTGATCGAAATATGAGAGCTCGACGCCATTTTGGTTCTGGTCTGGGCTGAGTTAGAAAATAAAAAAAAAATCCAAATGTTGAATGTGTCAGGACAATTCTTAGATGATCAAGAGTGATGTGTCAAGGTTTCGGACAGTTTGGTCTAATACCCTTAAAACAAAGTGTTGTATTCGAATCGACTGATTTGAAGGGGGTTTCACTTCACCTTAAATACCACATTTCCGAACGGCAGAGGTTCCTAGTCGGGTATAAACTGCACTCGGGTTGCATTGAGCGATCCGTCGAGTACCTAAGAAGGAAACTACATAACCTGTACAGAGGAACATGTGCCAAAAGAATTAGATCGACTTGCGAGGGGCATCCGGCACGAGATACTTAAGATGATATGAAAGGCGCTGAGAAATTTAATCGGGGTTAATAAATTAAAATTCAGCTATACCCTTTTTGGTGGTAACATCATTTTGAATGCTCAAGGGTAACATAAGCTGGCGCGATACGTTCCCAACATTTATACACATGTTGACGTCTTTTACAGTCTATGTTGATAATTATATGACCTGAAACGTTCCACGTCTCGTTTCGGTAAAGTAACGAGGAAAAGATCGACGTAAAACTGTCGAAATCCCGTAAATTCATTATTCCGACGACTGTTTAGGACCAACGTCGCCATCTGTGACGTTTAGCTGCAACTAAAGTTTTGCTCCAAAAACACGCCAGCATTCTCTTGCAATTGTTGGTGGAAGTATTTTCGATACTTTCCCATCTTACTCCGTAATATTCCATTTCTACGGTATTCTAAATTGTTCGAGCTAGGTCCTGAAACCCTTTATTTTCGATTCTGAGCCTCCAAGAAACGTAAAACATCGAAAACGTACACGGACCACGCCATGGTTCTAATCCACGATAAATAAATTAATTTTTCATAAAAAATGAAATTTCATGAGTTTCAGGACCTACTTTAAGGTTTCCATACTCACGTGGTAAAATTTGAAACGAAACGTGGTAAAATTTGAAACGAAACGTGGTAAAATTTGAAACGAAACATGGTAAAATTTGAAACGAAACGTGGTAAAATTTGAAACGAAACGTGGTAAAATTTGAAACGAAACGTGGTAAAATTTGAATTCGGTGCATCCAATTTGGGGAATACTTTCCCCAACGATTTGACATCTCAGATACATATAAGCTGACTCTTCCATATCACCTTAAGTGTGCAAATTAGCGACGAACTAACGCAAAAATGCGTAACAGCTGCAGCTGCAGACCGCATCGATGTGCTTCGGGTTTTCCTCTCCCTCTCTCTTCCTCTTTCTCTCTCTCTCATCTCTGGATCGGTTTCTTGCAACTGCACGCACAATAGCACATGCACTGCTTTCTGGGTAATGGGATATAAAAGCCTAAAAAATGGTGGAAACGGCTTAGAGAAATATGGAAGAGGGCTGACGAGACTCGCGATAAATCAAAAACTTTAAGAAAAAATGAGAAATTCGAGGTCTACGAGAAGAGAGAGAGAGAGGAGGGCATAGACGCGAGGGGTGTCGAGGGGAGAGGAGAAAGCAGAAGTTAGGCTAACTATATCCAGGCGGATTCGAGCTTTTTCTTTGACTTTTTGGAGCTCCCCTCCATGGCCGTCAGGGCCGTAGCGCCGGGCGACGAAAGACAGAAAAATATTTTTCTAAAGAGAACCCGAGAGAAATAAAAAAAAAAGAGAGAATAATAAAACGAGGTGCGAAACGATTAATGATTAATCCGCTAAAATATTGCGCCGAGGACACGCCCGGAACTTCTCAGCCGACATATCCGATCAATGCCTTACCGCTTTTCGTGTTTGACTCTTATATCCGGTCACTTGGGTGACCGGAAGTTAAGTGCGGTGCATCGAGTGCGCCAAGTGCATCGGCATGCATCGAACCAATAGAGAACGTATAATTGGGTTTTCGAACATACCATCGAGACATTTTTCCTACCAGTTTTCTCGACGTGATTGTCCTCCACTGACTGCGTTTTCGTGAATTTCGAAAATCCTCGGAAATTCTGTACGAATTGTCAAATTATTGTCAGAAGAAAAATGTGTTGAGTATTGTGGAAATGGTCCAGAGAATTGTTTTTCATCGATCGAGAGAATCTCTTGCACGGGAAAAATTTCTATATTTGGAGGAAAATTCACGGCTGAGGTATTTCACGATTTTTGCAATAGCTGAACTTTTTTTTCAGTATTGCATATGCATGAATAACGATATCGATATTCCATGACGTTTTATACGCAGGTGGTTGGACGTACAGGTTGAGAAAAAGGTAATAAAATGTTTTTGGGGGAGAGCTAAAATTTCAATCACGTATGCGGAAAGTTCCCTTGTCCCTGGGAAACAAGAAACAAAAAACGTGTTTGTTTTGTGCACGCTGAGGAAAAACTAGAGAATCAACTTGATTAATCCGTCGACAATTTTTATATTCGGTCTAACTTAGTTGGTTTAAATCGGATTGCCTTAAATACAATTGAATTTCTGGTTAGGAATTTTATTTTCTTACTCTTCTGAAATATTTCGTCGCTTTTTGTTATTAACAAAATAAACTATAAATAAGTGTTAGAGCAATTTGTTTCCTCTTATAAATGTGTATGTTGCTTGTTGACTATGTAATGATTTTTTATTTATGTACACTACGTTTACTCAAAGGGTGATAGGGTGATAAAAAATGTATAATCAGAAATCAAAACACTGGGAAAAGCTGTGTAGATATTTTAACAAAATTTAATTACTCCGAAGAGGGTTTAGTTAGACCAAATAAATTGTTCTTGGAGTGCGGCCAATTAGCTGTAACGTGCTGACTCGATGAAATGTTTTTCTCTCAGTTAACATTTATGGACAAAATATATTCGAAAATATGTATACTTTGTGCAAATGTTTCACGAGCAATTATATTTGCAAATAACTTATTATAAAAATGACTACTAAACTTGTAGTAGATGTCAAGATTAAATAAGGGAAAATATACAATTTTCTTGCCGCGTTATATTTTGACAATATTAAATTTAAAATACACTTTTCAACTAATATATTCCGCTAGGATTTATTCCCCTTTAATTAAAAGGCTACGTACAGATTTATTATGTGTAATATTCCCCGTTAGCAACATATAATTCGTTGTTGCATTACTTCGGAATAATTAATCTCTTGAAGTCTAGCGAACAATTAACACTATTTAAGTCGCCGCAACTTTCCCATCGACGCATATATTTAACAACTTTTTAATTGAAATTATTTTGTTAAATGAATAATTGAAACAGTTTGAAAACATGTTAAATCTCTAATGAATTGTGATTATATTTTGTATATACAGCGAAAATTGTTCCTTTTTCTCCCTTAAATGCGTTTCTTTTTCTCCGAAGGAAAAATATAGGAATAA